GGGAAGACAGGAAAAACGGAATTAGATGCTCGTGAAATGGACACTGACAAAAACCTGAAGTGTCGAGCTCGCTCAGATGCCATCTGTGTTTAATCCAGTCATCAGACAGTCTCTGTTTAACTAAATATTTGACTGCAGAATTGGGCCTGAATTATTGTTGGCAAAGCTTCCAAGCTCCACAGGTCCCTCTAACAAGCTGTTCCTCTGTGGAAGCCTTGCAAGGAGATGAATACAGCCTTTGAGGAAAGTGCTGGATCCCTTCTCAGGCTTCCAGAGTGGGTTTGTGGAGTCCCGCTAGGTGTCCAGGGTTTCTGAAAGCTTCATATATTGACTGTTAGAAGCTACAGGGCTGATGTTTGTGTGCATTGCTGGGATGTTCCCTGCGGAGGTTTGGCTCCGCAGCATGTCACAGCAACCAGAGTTATCAAAGAAAGCACCAAAAATAACCTAGTCTACAGGACAACTAAATGCCTGGCCCAGACAAGAAAACAAATAGGATGGAGCCACACATGAAGCCAGACCTCTAATGTGTATTCCATTCTAACGGGACATACCTGGAAGCACGGTTTGCAAGCCAGGACACAGATCTGGTACAGTCAGTCCCTTTCATACCCACAGTGGGGACATAAAGCAGCACAAACATCCAATTCCTTGTGGCATTAATGGCAGCCGGGTACCACAGTGCCCAAAGGGTCTGGTTTGGGTGTTGCCACGCAGAGACCATGGTTGCTATCTCAGCACATTTGATACCCAGTTGTGTAAAAAGGGTCCATCAGCACTGAAAGAGGAACACGGTCATCCCCTCTTCCATGCAATATTCCATTTCCTGACTGTGCCAGAAAAGGACAATCCTCCAGGGCTGGAGGCTGTTGCCCGAGCCAGGCTCCCCTGCTGTGGGCAGCTCCAGGGAAGCAAAGACTTGGCTTCCTGGACTAAAGGCAGCTGCCGGCTGGAGGAACCACCTTCCAGTTTTACTTCCAAAGGAAGATTATAAATTAAAGTCCAATTTGTTAAACCTTTAGGTAAGCAACTGTTTCTGCATAAACACATACTGGTTTGTGGGCTGTATTACATGGCTAGCTGCAAATCTGACTGACTTTAAAATCACAGTGTGTACAATTAAACCAGAGAGCAAACAGAGGCACATTTTAAAATGGAATGGATTTAAGCAGCCTGACTCATGATTTTTGAAAGCTGGAGATTGAAAATAATGATTATCCTAAACTAACACATAAAAATTGTGCACGCAAGGTAGGAGCACAAAACACTACGCCAGAGAGCTTCAGTTCTAAGTGAAAAAGAGCACATAGCTGGTTTAGCTAAAATTATTCTTCAAGTGAAATAAAGTCAAAGACTTTAACACCTTTCTGAAGATGGAGTCAATATCAGGATTATATTGCAAAAAGAGCTCAAATTACCACTTCCCCCTGTCATTCGTTATGCTACAACATTAGTGGAAAAATCCAAGAGCTCTTTTAGGTCTGTTAGCTAATAAATGGATCGCTAGGCAAGTGTTCAGCATCGTAAATAAATCCTTGCTGCATTCTGTACTTGGTATCAGCAGAAAGTCTTCGTCCCTCCCATCCCTGAACACATACCTATTTAGTAAGGACAGAAGGAACTGCCTACATTGCTTTTTTCTTTTTTTTTTTTTGCCAAATGGAAATGCCTAAGCCCACAATCAGATGTGAACTTCAGTGCCTCTGCGCTACTTCTTCTCCAAGGTCGGTGTTAAGCAGCAGAAGAGCTGGAGGTGATCAGTCCTGGCTGATTCAAGCTCTAGAAGAGGGGCTGAGAATGACATTAACAGTGGCAGAGTAAATCCAGACAGCTTTCCATCCAAGGATCTCTTAACAGCCTAACAAAAGACTAGCAAGAGCCAGGGGTCCTACCCAAGGCTGGGATGTATCTTATGTCTGTATAAGCAGGGATTATTCTCTCTCTGCCCTATTCAGGGCTGCTTCCCCAGCCCCCAGGCACTAGGGTACCCAGAGGGAAAGGGCTCAGCCCTTCTCAGTCATTCCTGCTGGCGCCGGTCCAATTTGTCTAAAGACACTTAAATATTCATCGAGAGAGAGCAAGACTCCGTCTCTCCGGGTGCACAGACTGCCCTCCAGGGAGACGGGACACCTGCCTTCTCCACTCCCTGCTCCATCAAATCATTAATTATTTAAAATAACAGGAAAGAGCAAGAAAAACGCTCCGTACCAGACATGCTCGCAGCCTGCTGTTTGCGGTACTCTCTGGGGTCTTGTGGAGACCAGGGTTTGCTTCTCCCCTCCGGCAGAAGCAAGGATCAAACCTAGCTTTCCCCCTTCCTCTGGGAGGATGCTCTACCCACCGAGCTATTGTACATAAGACAGGCTTCCCCTTTATCCAGACAGACCTTATGTTTGCTTTTCCTACTGGGGAGGGTTTGGGGTTTTTTTTAATTCAATTTAAATAAAAGGAAAACAAAACACAAATCCAAAGCTCTGAGACCAGCAGGTAGTCATAAACCCCCCCAAGAGCTATGTTCGCTCAAGAGCTTAGTCTTCTACCTCCCTATTTCACAGCCGAGCAGGCCAACAAGCCCAGCTTGTGGGGCAGCTGGTCCAGCACAGCACTTGGCTACAGAGACCCTCAGCAGTGGGCTTTGATGAGATGGAAACCACCAGCTCAGCCCTGTGGCTCCCTGGCCTGAAGACAGCTCTATTGAGGCTGTGCCCATGGAGGGACGTTTCTGAAGTAGCAGGGGGTCTCTGCATCTCCACATCCCCCCAGGACACTGCCAGTCTCCCCACATCTCCCACCACACACACCCCCTCCCGTGCGCTCTCACGGGAGCAGTTGTCCTGGTTTGAGCGACACGGGACTAATTTCTCTTCTAATGCTTGGGAAAACTGCACTTTTAGAAGACTCTAGTATCCAAATGCGTGAAAATGTTTACTTTCTATCCAGCGAGGCTGTGTGGCATTCAAGGTCTCAGTGTTCTCAAGCCTGGGATGAGGGGGAGTAAGACCTGGGCACTTGACCCAGGCTGGCCAGCAGTATTATTTCATACCATGAACACCACATTTGATATAAATTAGAAAGTTTGCTGCGTAGTGCTCTCTCTCCCTTGATGGCAGCAGTCCAGAGAACTTCTTGTCTCGGTACGGGACTCCTGAGCCCTTCTGTTCCTCCTGAAGCCACAGCATTCACAGTGTCCCACATTTGCTGTCCCCTGCTGGGATTACAGAGCTTCCTGCTGATGGGCTGAGTATAGTCCTTGTGTATATTATATTGGTGTCGGGATCAATACTGGTTCTTTAGTATTATTAATGTTGATTATTTAGTCTTAGCCTATTAAATCTATTTATATTTCAACCCTCGTGTTTCCTTGTTTGTCCCCGGTTCCCCTTCCCAGGTGGTCATTTCGTGACAGAATTGTGTAAACGACAATAAATTCTTGTGGGTTTCTCAAACTGTAACAGCAGCACAGGGTCCCCGGGGAAGGGATGTCCTCCCAAAACTGGCCTGAGCCCAGAGAACAGCCCCATCTGCACCCTGGAGTTCATTGCTCGCTGCTGCAGATGGTGGCAGGTGAACAGCACGGGCACCCTCATGTGGTCACCGGGATGAGCGTGTGCTCACAGCCAGAACCCACGGCAAGGATGGAGGGCATGGGGAGAGTCCTCTAGGGAGTCCTGCTGAGGGAGGAGAAGGGTGACAAGGACCAAGTTTGTAGGCCAGCACGGTGCAGGGAGGGACTACAAATCCGAAATCACCTCTCCTATCCGAAGACCAGCAGCAGAGAAACCCCCCTTTCTGCAGTCTGTTGCTTGGCCACTAGGAAGCCATACACAGGAGAAACCAAAGTCCTACCACAATTTAAGCTCATGCCTCCCAGTCCTGCCCATCCCCGGTTGGCAGAACCCAGAAAGGTTATTCCTTTCTCCTCACACCACCTTCCTATCCATTTGAAGGCCAACAAACAGCATTTACTTCATCAACCCCAGGCGTCACTCAACGTGTGACCCCACATCCATGGCAAGACTTGAGTGCAAGCAAACACTGGTCCTGTGTCCCTCACAAGGGGGGACTCATATCCTGACAAAATAGATACGGGGAGAGAGCTGTGGGGCCAGACCCACACCAGAGAGCTTGCATGGGCTGCGTTGAAATGGCTGTGGCAGAAAGGATGGTGGCTTCAGGAAAGATTTCCTGCCAGGAGAACCACTGCCTTGTCCTTCATGAAAAGGCAGAAGCACCTCTCCAGCCTGGAGAACGACAACATGGACAGGACCAAGCACCCAGTTTTGTGATTCTTTTGGGCTGTTTTGGGCCTTTTTTTTTTTCTCCTTTGTGCCCACCTCGGACCTTCCCAAAACAGATCGGATTCTCTCCCCAACCTCAGCTCAGCCACTGCCTGGTTCCTTCCTCCTCCTACTATCAAAATGGAAAAGGCAAAACCAGACCAAGATGCTGAAACAGGAGAATTAACTCTAACTCTGAGTGAAGAGCACTTTTAACCCGCTCCTGCACCCACTGCCGTGCCCCAGGCCCTGTGGTAGACGAGAGCACCTCATCCCCTGGAAACGCCAAACCCTGAAACCCTGCTTTCAGGGCAAAAAAAAAAACAACAACAAAACAACAACCCACCTCGTATTTCCCACAGAATTGACATTCTTCACCTCCCAAATCGGTTTGGAAACAGCATTAAACCACCCACAGCTTCCAAGCAGCAGCCCTCAGCCCAGCTGAGCCACCTCAGCTGAGGCGAAGGTCGGCACCATCAGAGGTGAAGGTCGGCACCGTGCGGCCGCCCTGACCGGAATGGCGGTATCCGCATTTCCCCCCTCGAGTCATCCCCAAAACGACCCGAAAACACCGCGTTTGTCGGAAGGAGCATTTATTTCCCTTTATTTTCCTTTAAATAACAGCTACGGAGGCGCTCTGCGGCGGCGGGGCGGCGGCAGTCAGTCCGCCCGCCCTGAGGCGGCGGGGCCGCGGCAGCCAGCCAGCCAGCCAGCCAGCCAGCCAGCCCGCCCGCCCTGAGGTGGCGGCGGGACCGGCGTGGGCGGCGGGCAGCGACATGGGGGACGACCTGGCGTCGGAGGAGGACACCCGTGAGTAGGGGCTGAGGAGGGGGATGCCCCGGAGGGGCCGCGTCGTGAGGGGGGTTCGTGTGGAGGGAGAGGGCGGGGGCGGAGGCGGCCACCCCCGGGCCCGGGGAGGGGGCTCAAGGGGCAGGGCCGAGGTGCTTGAAAGGATAACAGGACTTTACAATAAACCTATTCGGAGACAAAGGAGGTGTGTAACCTCAGTATTGCTTTTGCCCCAAAGCATCCTGTGCCCCATGGATGCTGCAAATAACGCCGGTATCCCCCGCCTCGGTGTTGTGGGCACCTTTATGGGCCGGTTCCCGGCCGTACCGGGCTGTCTTTGTGTCCTGCAGCCTCAGGTAGAGCCCAGCAAACAGCTTTAGCTCGGTTTTTGGCGTGTTTTTCTTCTCCTTTGCTGCTTTTTTAATCTCTTGCGTCATAAACCGCCGGTGTGATGGTGCATGGTGCTGAGGGTAAATTGCTTAAATTGTTTTCCATGTTGGTTGGGATAACTGAGTTCGTATTCAGTACCATGAGGTATGAAAATACCCTGAGCTCCAAAGAGAAGGAAAAACTGCTGAATATTTACTGAAATGCAGCTGTTGGAGGGTGCACGCCATGAGGAGGGGTGCATTTACATTTATGGGGCTGGCTGCCGGTGTGGACACCAAGTAGGAAACTCAGACCATCAAATAGTTTCCCATATGTTGCTGAAAATAAACAAACTGTGGCTTCTACAACCTTAGCAAGGCAAGGTTTGTTACTGCATCTTCACAGGTGGAGGAAAGAACAAACAAATCAAGGGGCGGTTTGTTGTCTTTTGACAATGATGCTTTGTGCGATCATAAAATGTAAGAACATGTTTTTGTCACCTGGAGAGCAGAGGCAGCAACATTTGCTTAAGCAAAGCAGAGGGTTTACCCCACTGAATAGAGATAAGCATTTGCAAGGAGGTAGTATGTGTGTAGCCATGGGTGTTAATAATTAACATAAACTCCACAGGTTTTTCCCGGGTTCTCCTGATATTTCCTCTCAAATGAGGCGTCTGTGCAGTGGGGAAATGCTGTCCTGTTAACACACCTGGCCAGATGAGAACAGCATCCCAATATACAGTACAGAAAACCCTGTTCCTGCAGAAATCAGTGTCCAAATCCTGCTGCCTTCAGTGAAGCAGTAGGTCCAGAACTTTTGAGTGACCCTACCTGGTATTAAGATTTGTGTTATTAGTGTTCTTCTTGAGCTAAAAGTTTTTGTTTGAAGTTAAGAGGAACGGAAATTGAAGGATGAGGTTATACCTCTGCTGCCCTGCAAGTCCACAGCAGGGGTGCCTTCCTTCTGTTCCCTCCAGAGAGAAATGGGGTAATACCAGACAGCAGGTCTCCTATCTTCTCAGTGTGGTGGAACGGGAACCATAGTGTCTTTTTATGCCTCTTGTATGGCATGTGGTTAGTGTCTAAGTGGTACCTTGATACAAAACTAAGTTGCATTGAGTCCCTGCTACCCTCAAACTGCAGCCTGAGATCTGCAGAAAGGCAGAAGAGAGCAGAACATCCGAGGCAGCTCTCCAGCAGGCTGAGACAGGCTGAGGGTCAGCCTTAAGCATCTCAAAATAATTCCCCAAAAGGACTAGGGCAGAGACTGAGACCAAGAAAAACTGACACCAGCCTTGCCAAAAAACTTTGAGAGCCTGCCCATGGGGCTGCAGCGGGCCCGCAAATCACAGCCTTGCTCTCATTTCTTGGCAGGAAGGTTTGTTCGATCAAGGAGAAGATTGCTGGGGCAAGGCCCAGCATGGAGAGTAAACGCCCTTAAATTGTGCCAAAGTGTGCAGGACAAATACTGCAGGTTGTGGTAAATTATGCCTAGAACTGCCACGGTCTATTAAGAGATGCAACACTAATCACAGGCCAGGCTAGCAGTTTTGTGCTGCTTGGCTGATTCGGGTTGCCCGGAGGGGCACAGCAGGACCATGTGTAAAGGCCTCCTCGCAGAGCAGCGGGATGTAAGTGAACGGATGGAGGAAAGCCATTCTTTCATCTGCCTGAGCCCTCACACCAGCTCTGGGCTTCAGAGGATGGCCAGAGGACATGGACCGAGTGGATCAAAAGGTTTTGCAGCTGGAGCAAGGCCACGCAGAGAAAGACACTAAATTAGAAAAGAAGCTGGTAGGACTGGAAGGACAGGGAAGGGAAGATAGTGGGAGAGGACAAATCCAGCAAACATGCCAACGTCTGTAGGGCTGGGATTCTTGCTGGAAGAATCTTTCTGCAGTCATCCTTCCTTGAAGCCAGTGGGGTATGTGAGATGAAGGGGAAGTTTGTTGGGACATGCTGGTCCGTGCTCCATGCCAGCACTGTTTTAATGCCCACTCTTCTGTTTCTGCTGCAGTGCTTCATTCAGAGAAGGAGTTCCACGATGCAGCAAAGCGTAATGACACGGCCAGGATGGAGGAGCTCATCAGGAGAGGGGTCGACATCAAAGCCAAAAACAATGTAAGTCCTGGATTTTTCCACCTCTGAGCTGCAGGAAGTGCTGAGGGTGTGTTTCAGAGCTGCAGCTGCTTAACACTACTCTTCTCATTATCTGCTCAGTTGGTCAAAGCTTTAAAAGACACTGCCCAGTGCTAAATAGGGCCTGTGGCAACTGAGCGGTTTCAGAACACACTGGAACCCACAGCACTGTCATCCTGGCCAGACTGCAAAGTTGCAAATGCCGAGGGAAGGTGATAACTTATGGTTGCCCTTGGAACCTGTGTGCCAGATACACACGGCTGCAGGGAAAGGCTTTGAGTTTGCTATCTCTGTACACCAAGGCTATGGGTCTAACTCCGTTCCTGGTGTGGATCTCCCCTTGTTGACCAGTAGGTTCCTGGAAATGTGGGATTGCACCCATCCCTGGGTTTCAATCTGTCCATGGTCAGTGATGTCGTTACAGTCCATTCCTGTGCTGTCGTTACAGTCCATAACTGCAATTTCTGAGTAGAAAGTGACCAGCACCTGTCTGCCTGACAAGAAACAGAGGGTTATGTCCAAAGAAAACCCTGCACAGTGTGAGAAATTCTGGCTCTGTGGATGGCAAAGGAGATTTTGGCCTTCAGGATGGCTGGTGGATACAACTCATCCACCATCAGCCTTCCCTCTCCCTTCCCTTCCAGACAGACCGGACTGCCCTGCACTGGGCTGCAGGAGCAGGGAATGTGGATGCTGTGCGACTGCTCCTGGATCACGATGTCCCGGTGGATGACGAAGACAGCGTATGAAGACAGATCTCCCTTCCATGTCCTGCAAATGGGTTCTGTGTTGGGAGACCGATGGGGACTGGGTGCTGGGCTGGCAGTGACAGACTTCACCGTAGCCCTGGGGGGGGGTGGCACAAGGTTTGGCAGTGCCTGGGAAGCTGTGGCCTCCTCGCTGAGGCAGTTGTGGTGCCTTTCTGGAGCAAGCCTTGTTTTCAGATGTGTCTGTGCTCTGTCTTTTGGCCTTTTCCTTGCACGCACAGGGACTGAGGAGAAGGCTGGTAGAATCTGTGAGGTTCTCTGTATAACGTGGGGATGCTTGGCTGCTTCTGGTTGTGTTGTTGGGACTTGTGGGAAGACAGTGACAGCAAGCAGGTTCTCCCCCACCTCACAACCAAGCTAATACCTACCATTGACAAGGAAGTAGCAGTCAAGAGTCAGGTCTCTGCTCAGCTGCTGCAGCCATCTGTGGGAGGAATAACAGTAATTAAAGAAAGTGGGGCTAACAAAAGTACTTGGGAAACTTCATGAAGCTAGAGGGACATCTTCCCTCCAGGGTGGGGATGGTGGTGGCTGCAGTTCAGCTGTGTCTCTCTTCTCTTCTGCCCAGTTTGGAATGAATGCTCTTCTCCTGTCTGCCTGGTTTGGCCACCTCCGTGTCCTGCAGATCCTCGTCAACGCTGGGGCCAAGATTAAGTGTGTCGATAGGGTGAGAGAGTTTCCTTACGTGGGTCCATCACAGGGCTCCAGACAGTGATGGGGAGGAGAGACTGAGGCTTATCTGTGGGCAAAGGTGATCCTATGTGACAGCATCTGCTGTGGGGACTGCCATCTGCTCTTCTGCTTTGTTCCTAAACCAGGTGTAATAATTGTAGTTATAGAGATCTACGTGGCTTCCTCAGCTCACGTTTGTGCAGTGCTGAGGTGGAAGGTGTTACAGAAATGGAAAACGGGTTTAGTGAATCAGCATTTTGTGTATTTTAAAGTAGACCATTGGGAAAAAGGAACATTATTACTTTAGAGTCATAACTTGCTGTCTGCAGCACAAATTGTTTCAGCAGTAGAGGTGCAGGGAGGCATCTAATGGGTCTTTGCTAACAGAAGCAAGTTGTTAAAAAAGACTGTCCTATTGCCTTGGACTTGTTAAGTGAATAATCCTTTATCTCTTCTCCAGAATGGCAGGAACCTGCTCCACTGTGCAGCTCAGAGGGGACACATCCAGGTGATGGAGTTCATCATGGAGGACCTGGAGGACATGTGTGTGGATAGAACAGACAAGGTAGGAAGGCTCTTCACTGCTTTGGTTCATGCTTAGCAGGAATGTTGTCCTTGGTCTTGGGAGGAGACCCAGAGTCAGATGCTACTCCCAGAGAACCAAGGGTAGCCCATGCAGTCTCTGGCCCTCCTGTGACAGGGGGCTTAGGGATGATGAGGATTCTGGCTGTGGCCAGGCTTCAGCAGCCAGGGCTTCCTAGTTTAGCCTTTTGCAGAATAAATTCAGGAATTTCAGTGTCCTTCTCTTGTGCAGCTGATGCTCCAAGACGTATTGTCGATAGGCAATAACCAAGGGTGGCCCTCTCCCAGCATGTTCCAGCATTAGCTGATCTGTTCCTGAAGACAACGTAGGAGGAACACAGAGGAACAGGAGGTGGTGCACATGGCCTTCATGATTCCTAGAGTCATCTCCACTCTGATGCTTGGGAGTTAAATGAAGCAACAAGAGATCTGCCTTTCCCCCTTTTTCCCGCAAAAGGGGTTCTGATTCCCTCGATAACTGGGGTCTTAGACATTAATTCCATTTTTTGCCCTTAGTTGCTTTTAGTAATCCATTTATTATCCTCTATTTATATGAAATAAACATTGAAATGATCTCTTTTTCAGTGTTTGGTGAGACTAACGTGCTTGGAGTTGTTAGCCCCAATCTAATGTAGCGTAGATCTGTTCACCTTGTTTTTTTAGGGTCATCCCAAATGCAAAGCAGAATAAAAGTTAGCAACAGAGTAACTATTTTTCAAGTGCAGCACTTTTTCCTCCTGTGGACACTAAGCTTGTTTAGTTATCTCACAAGGCATTATTATATTCCTTGCAGCAGATGATGTAGTCTTGTGCTTTCTGAGCCTTTCTCAGACTGTTTTTCCTTCTGTTTCGTTTCAAAGATGGACAGGACAGCATTTCACCTGGCTGCAGAGTATGGGAGGCTGGAGGTGGTGGAGTTCCTCATTCGACTGGGTTGTTCTCACAGTGCCAAAGACAAGGTACGGGCACAAAACCACGTGCAGGGGAGGTAAAGTCTGAGGAGGATGTGAATTTCAGGGAACGGGTTACCAAATGAGGCTCGTGCAGGCAAGTTGTCAGCATTTATAATTATGGTTGTGGTTACCTCAGGGCTTTTCTTCCCTGTCCACTTGCAAGCTATTTGCACCCCAGTCCGTGTTGGATTTATCTCCAGGACTTTTCAGGCAGGGTGCACAGCGAGCCTGGTGGACCATGCTCTGGTTTAAGGTAGCTGAGTTTCTTCCCTCCCTGCTGCAATTTTGGAAGACTCTTTCAGACTCTTCCTACTCATTAACAACCTCCTCTTCAGCCACCTGGGGTATACTCCGTGTGAGGTTGTGGTGTATGAACACTCAGTCCTGTGATACATAAATGCATGAAGTGATGTTTACTTTCAGGAAGAAAATACAGCACTGCATTTAGCTGCTAAAAATGGCCATCCCTCTGTGCTGCACAAGATTATAGACGTTGGAGTGGACCTTGATGAAAAGAACGTAGTAAGTACATTTATATGAAATGAAACCTGCATCAGTTTCACCCTTTCCCTCCCCAGAAATACTCTCCTGACACTGTCATCAGGCTGAATAGTCAGTATTGACAGGAGAGGTTTAGAAGATTGCTGATTTTATCTACTGTGTACGTGTGTAAATGCAGGTCGCACTTGCAGGCTATCAGTGAAAGGCAACATCCTTCTTGGACCAATATGCAATTCTAAAGTGTTGTCCTTTCTTCCTGCTGTATCTGCTGACCCACCTTATCACTCCATTTAATCTCCCTTTTTCTCCCTGACCCTTGTACATTCAAGTGCCTAAATGGTTATTGAGTGTGTTTTAAACTAAACTTCACTATGTTTTATAGTATTGACTTAGTCACTGAACATATGGACCTTCTGTTTGAGGTCTCGCTTTGGCAGAACTACTTTGGAAAATTATGTGTCTGGAACATAGTTAATGATTTAGATAGCAAATATTGGCTTAGTAACGCTGGTATTTATTCCAGGGCATACTCCCGATTTAAGTTTATCAGCAATTTCTTTAATCTTGTTTGGTTACTGACTTTAAAAAGTGTATTTGGTTGTGATTAAGATCTGAAAGAAAAGGGAAACCGCCTTCTACGGTAACACTAGTAGCATTTGTCTTCCCCCACATGAGCTGCCCTTTGTGCAAAAAGCAATACTAAAATGAGATTAAATCACTTAGGAATTCTGCTTGTTTCTTGTAAAGAACTGACCTGCAGCCCTCAGAAAGGAGAACCAGTAGCCGAGGGCCACAGGTTTCCAGTTCTACTTATGGCTGTTTCTGGGCTGCTCTAGGAAAATGGTTTGTCTTCGTTGTCCACGTGAAATCCTTTTTTGTTTGCTGATGGGATGAAGGAGAGAAAAGGTGATTAACATGATGTCTGTCTTGTGGCCCGTGGGCCAGCTGTTTCCAGTGGCATAAGGACAGAGCAGTACTCTGATATGTCAATGGCAGATAATTATGTTCTTTGTTTTCCTGACGGTCATCCTGGCCCTCAGAATTGGTATTTTAACACGGCATGGATTCAGAAGATGGGGTAGGGGTAGGTGCTTGCTCATTCTGCTGCTCTGTCTTGGCCTTGTCTGCAGAAATGCTGTTTGTCTCCTTTTTTTGCCTTGTCCAGGAAGGACTTACAGCTCTGCACCTGGCTGCCGAGGGAGGGCACAGCGACTGCGTGAAGCTGCTCTTGGAAGCAGGTGCTGATGTCAATGCCCAAACCCAGGTGAGCTCCGAGGAGGTGATTCCTTTTTTCCAAACACTACTTTGTGGATTTTTGCCCTCCCAGGGAGGGCACCCTTTGTCAGGTGAGGCCACGTGGAGCCCAGCACTTCAGAAATAGCGCAGGGAATCCAGAGGAAAGCGCACATGGCTTTGTACAAAGAGGCAGGTGAAGCCCCCTGGGGCTAGTTTGGCTGGGGAGACAATCTTTATGAATTTGTCAGCACGGGGAGGAGGGAAGGAGGAGATTTCTGTGGACAGTCTGTAACAACTGCAGCCTCTGAGGAGAAGCCCTGGCTAATACCCATCTCCTCTGATGTGCCTCTCAGAAGAAGATGAACTGCCTTCATTACGCAGCGCTGCACGGCTACGAGGAGATAGCCAGGATCCTCGTGGACGCAGGAATCCACACAGATGCTGTTAATCATGTAAGTGCTGTTTGATTCCCTCATCACTTACAAAAAGGCAAAGCTGGTTTGTGGAATTGTTTGAGAGCAACAGAGCAACTCCCTAAGGATCAGGGTCTTCTTTCCACAGCAAAATGCATCAGCGACACACATCGCGGTGCTGCAGAACTTCCCGGCCATGGTGAAGCTCTTCATCGACGCGGAGTGTGACCTTGACATTCCAGATAACGTAAGACTGCACCTCCTCTCCTTTGTCTTTTGAAATGTGAACTGGTTTCGTGGGGGATTTGATCACCTTGGGGACAGGGTTAAAGAGGAGTGCTTCAAAATGGGGAAAACCTGGAAGCGCAACTTAGGAAACGTGAAACCCGTGAAATGATTCGGAGTGTTGCAGTGAGGTAATTGCTTGATGGCATTCAACGCGTGGGCTGTTCCATGTCCCTGAGACCTGTGCCCAGCAGCATGGTATAGTCAGGCTCTCTGCTTCCTGCTGGAAGCAGATGGGAGAAATTTGAGGCCAAAAGATATTCTGCCAAACGTTTGTGGGGCTGAGAATGGGAGGCAAGCCTGGTTTTCTCACCAAATTGTAATGTCGTGAACGAAGGGCTTTCTGTAGCATGTTCATAATGTTTTGATTAATGTTAATTCTCTTAGTGATGTTCTCTCCCGGTGACACCATAAAGTTGCCACATTTTGTCTTTGATTTTAGTTGTTTCCATGGAGGAGTCCCAAGGCACATACAGTTTACAGTGTGTACACACTAACCCGGCCCTGTCTCCCAGGAACAAAGAATTGGCACTGGTCCTTTCCTCCCTTGGCCAAACTGTCTGCCTACAGAAATTGTTTCAATAACAGGAAATAATATAATCCTATAAGTGACCCTAGAGAGCATTATGGAACTGAAGAGGTCCTTTCTTTAGACTGAAATGCTGTCAGGGAGGCTTCCTAGTGCTGATGCTGGGACAGGGACAGACCAGTTGCTCAACCTGAGGAACCCAGTCCAGTTTGAGGTAGGAAGATGCCTGGCCCTCAGTTTAAAGAGGGATAGAGGGGAAAGGAGAGCAAAGCTGACAGTGCTTCCTCCTGGTATGGTTCTTTCCTGTCCTTCCAGCCTCACACTTGTCCCTCTCTGAAGTTTAGTCCTTTCCCTCTCCTTCTGCAGAGGCTGCAGACCTCGCTCCACATCGCTGCGGAGCACGGCAGGCAGGACATTGCCGAGATGATTCTCGTTGCAGGAGTTAATCTGAAGCTGACAGACAAGGTAATGGGCTGCATGGGTTAAAGAAATTCCATGGGGGTATAGAGGGAAAGTATGGATGCCACTGTTTTTCGTCATTTTCAAAGAAGGCTAGAAATAATATTAAAATCTGGGTATTTCCAGGGATAGGGCCCTGAAACGCTGCTGGGCAGGTTATTTTGATGTGTTTTCTGGGAAAGAAGTGACAGGTTCTTAGGAAGGTAAAAGAGAGCTCACACAATGAGCAAACTTTTTCTTCTCAAAGTTGTTCTAGTTCCGTCTTGTGCTATCATGCACATTAATACCAAATATCTTCTTGATTAATGATATATTATATACCTTAATAATTACAGCACATGTTTGAAAAGGTCAAAAGTATCTGGTATAGATATGGTACCAGCTTCCAGAGCTTTTGCCCTCTAATTAGATGAAAAAAAAGGAATTATAGAGGAGTCAGGCAAGTTGTGTGTGGCCTGAGAGTGTGGTGTGTGCTCAGGAACTGCAGAGATTATTACAGTGTCTGCCCTTCCCAGTGGCTTAAAGCTCTTACAGACCCAAAGCCCTCCCGGCCTCCAGCTGCAGTGAGTGTTTGCCACCTTCCAGCAGTCTGTGGAACCGCAGTGAGACTCGGTGCAGGGAACACATTCACCCTTTTTTCTGTGTGCAGTTGGGTTTCTGCTCACATCTGAGGCTAGAACTGTTCTCAGCAGCGTGCCCGACGGCTGGGCTGGCTCCCTTCCCTTCACACAGCTTCCAAATCTTGTTCCTTTCCACTGTACACTTTTAGATACCAATATAAATATACATCCCCCCACCTCAATCCAAAGTCACATCCCTATAAGGAGCTTCTCCTAGGAGACTGTTTCTAATCACATGGATGTGGAGCCTGTAAAATTAATGAGGTTGTATAAAATCACTTCAGTTCCACGTGTCAGCAAACCCGCTGTGCAAAAAGGCCATAAAATGCTTGGGACTGTGGTGCTGAGCTGATCCTTTGCCAGCTGCACCCGTGGGAGCCCAAAAGCCCCCTGCCATCTACTGGGGGGTGCAGGATGCTTTTCTGACCTCCCCTTCCAAACGGGCAGATCCCTGTGGCACCAGAGGAAATGCTGCAGAGCCTGGGAAGTGAGTCCCCGTGCCCTGCACGCAGTAGCTCCGAGGTGGCTCACAGCTGAGGGGTTTCCAGGTGGGGAACAGGGGTCCTTCAGCCCTGGCCGTGCTGCCTGGGACTGCAGACTGCCAGCAGGGCAGTGAGATTGTCCCTCCCAAGCAGGCAAGGTCTTTTCCAGCTCATTTTTTTTCCCCCTCCTAATTTCAGCAAGGGAAAACATCGCTGGATGTCGCCGCCCGAGGCAATCACATCAACTTGGCAGACATGATTATCAAAGCCGATCGGTTTTACAGGTGGGAGAAGGTGAGCAGCTGACACCGCTGTGCCCTCACCCCCCTGGGCAGGTGTAGCTTTATCCTCTCTGTTGAGACTCCACGTCACCAACTGTCACACAGAAAAGAAATGCAGGACGTCCTGTGACAGCCTGGCCTCCTCTTTTGTCACCTTAAGAAACTCAAAAGTCCTCACCATGCCAACAACATCTGCTTAAGGCTTCCTTATTTTAAAAAGCCTCTGTTGGTTAAAACCCCTGGCTGTGCTGAAGGTAAAAAAGACATTGAGGTGCTGGAGCGGGTCCAGAGAAGGGCGACAAAGATGGTGAGGGGTCTGGAGAATAAGTCTTATGAGGAGAGGCTGAGGGAACTGGGGTTATTCAGCCTGGAGAAGAGGAGGCTGAGGGGAAACCTTCTTGCTCTCTCCAACTCCCTGAAAGGAGGGTGTAGAGAGGTGGGGGTCGGTCTCTTTTCTCAAGTCACAGGCGGCAGGACGAGAGGAAATGGCCTCAAGTTGCACCAGGGGAGGTTCAGGCTGGATATTATGAAAAATTTTTTCACTGAAAGGGTTCTCAGCCATTGGAATGGGCTGCCCAGGGAGGTGGTTGAGGCACCATCCCTGGAGGTGTTCAAAAGACAGGTTGATGTAGTGCTGGGAGGTATGGTTTAGTGATGGTGATGCTTCTTGTTTGTTGTGCGGGTGTCTATTTTTGTCAGTTAGGTTGACGGTTGGACAAGATGATCTTTAAGGTCCCTTCCAACCTGGAAGATTCTGTGATTCTGTAAATATTCTTTGGCTGCTCTTCCCAAAGCCCTGTAGAAGGGAGTGGGGTAGCATCAGTTCCTTTTCCCAGAAGGAGAAACTGAAGTGCTGAGCAGGAAAATGCTTGGTCCGAGGTCACCAAACGGGAGTTTTTCAGCAATGGGAGACAGCTCTGGTGAGCAGAGTGATCAGTTCTTGTTGGAGTCAGCCTTGTTGGAGTAGAACCGACTTCCCTGAGGCTGGGGCTGCTCCTCCCATGTGTCCCAGTATGACCCAGTGTCCCTCCTCCCATGGCCCCATGTGCTCAGCCCCAGTCCCCCCCAGAAACCCTGCCTACCCCAAACCAATTTGAGCAGAGGGTGTGCTGAAAGCACAGCCAAACACCACATCCACATCTTTGTAAGACTTGGGGCATCCTCCCATAGCAGGAAAGATGGTGGTCTAGAGGGGAAAGAAAAGGAAGGAAGGAAGAGCATCCACTGGTGCCACAGCCCCAGCTTCAGGAGTAACGGTGTGTGTATCGGGCCCTTGGGTGGCCTTTCCATGCAGCCCTAGGGACAGTCATTTGGCCTCTGCAGTCTGGGGTATAAAGGAGGCAAGCACATGTCTATGTTGCAGGGGAGCAAGGAGATTTTAATTAAATGATTCTGCATACAAGCCCCAGATAAAAGGCACTGTAGAAATGCAAATTGCAATCGGCTTGGGCTCCCACAGCCAAGCTGCTGTTAATAGTGTTTGTTAACGTGCACAATTAGAACAGAGTGAAGCAAGAGAATAAAGAGAATAAAAAGAAAGTGCTGTGCCTGAGCCACCTCGGAGGATGTGGGAGGCTGCAGAGTGACAGGTCCCTCTGCTGCGTCCCCAGGGAACCCCCTCTTCTGGCTTTGCAGGACAATCTGCACAGCGACTCCGAGTCCTGGGTGGTGAAACACTTGACCTTTAAGCAGGACCACAGGCTGGAAACGCAGCACATCCGCTCGGTGATGTGGAGACTGGCCACCAAGTACCTCAAACCCGGCGAATGGAAGAAGCTGGCACATCACTGGAAGTTCACCGATGCCCACATTAGGGCCATCGAGCAACAATGGACAGGTATAAAACACTTGCCCAGATATTTTCCTTCCCTCACTTGGATCGCGTTTCTAGGAGGTAAGGCTGCAAGTAATAGCAAAGCACGAAGAAAATCAGATGGCTTATTTGAGACAACCAAAAGATGAGGGTAAAAAGCCTGGATTTAATTAATGTGGAGTCATCTACATGCTGGAATCTGTCTAGGACAAAGCAGACAAGCCCGGGGGTCAGCGGGTCATTGCTTGCTCCTTCTGAGCCACTTGCTGGAGCTGTGAGTTCTTGCTACGATTCTTGCTCTGTAGGACAGAGGAAACTTGCTGGTGTTATCTTTTAAGGAGCTGAACCAAGAAGGCAGAGAAGTCCCATTTAGAACTTAAGATTAGCAGAAGCAGGTTCTGGTTTCAGAGCAGTTTGCTGTTGGTTTGGTTTAAGGCCTCCTGTAGTTGGCAGGACGTGAGCAAGGGGCTCGGCTGTGCTCTGAAGGCAGAAATTCTGCATCCAACAAGCCCACACTCCTTCCTGGCCCACTCTGTTTAGTTTAACATTAAATCTAATCCCACCACAACTAGGAATTAAGCTGATCTGTAATTCAGAGCATCCTGCTAAAATCCAAGGAGGAGGGAGGGGTGTCTGAACCCACCCATTCACAAACCAGCTCCTCTCAGGGCTGTGCGAGCACAGGGTTCCAGCTGGGGTTTGATCTTGGCAGGTACCAAAAGCTACAGGGAGCACGGGCACAGAATGCTGCTCATCTGGCTCCACGGCACGATCACAGCGGGAGAGAATCCAATCAAGGGACTGTACGAAGGCCTGGTGGGGATTGGAAGAAGAGATTTAGCAGGTAATACTTGTGTTTTCCTTCAAATAATACACACCGAGCGCTACCTGAGGAGAACTCCAGTCAAAGCCTGTTCACACAAGCTGGAAGGTACCACGTCCTGCCCCCTTGCTACTAATACATGTCATTTCGGTCTCTTTCTTCTGTTTTAGTGAATTAACACATCCTGCCACGGCTTTATACTTTCTGTGCAGCAGAACATTCTTTTTTTTTACAGAAAGCATTCGGAAAAAAGCAAACTCAGACTCTGCCTCTCCACGGAAATGCATCACGATGTGACCCAGTGGCTCCATCAACTGATGAGTCCTCAGCTGGTCTTGAAGCTGCAGGAGAAACCCCTACTCTGCTGCTCCTCAGAAGGCAGCTGCAACCTAAGGGCTTCTCATCCCCAACAGCTTCCTGCTTGGTCTGAAACAAGGGGATCAGCAAATGCTACAGATCGAAAACGCTTCTTTACACAGAAGACAGATTTTTATCTGCTATTGTGTATGGTCTGGGACTGGAATGAGTTCAGTCTCACTCATCCTGTGAGGATCAAGGAACTACTATTTTACTATCACTTGTTTACATCACTTTTTTGTATGTAAATTTTTAAATGTCATTTTTTTAAGTCATTGGGGGGAAGCCTTTGCTTTCAAAAATGTTCTTTACTTTTTTGTTTGGGGTGTGTTGTCTGTCTCTTGTGTCTTAGATGGGTTCATAACTCCCCTAGTAGGGTGGGAATTCCAGAGGAAAAGCCAAGGCTGCCACTTGGGCCTTTTGGAACCTTAAGGGTTGTGACCTTTAACGTTTTGACTCTTCACAAAAAGTTTCAGAGAAGAACATTAACAGATATTATTTACAAATGTACATTAACATACACATAAATCAAAGAGGTGATTTCTTTAATCCCTGGGCTACAAGCTTGGGAAGTGTAAGGTAAGAGTGGTCACTGGTTACCTGCACAGCCTCTGACAAGGACATACAGTTTTCTTTAGTACAAAGTATTATGTGATAAGTTGGTATTTATTTTTTACAGTGCTTCAAGGAGAAAGAATGTCTGCATTTCAATAAATTCAGATTTTACCCTTAACAAATAAGAAGTATCTTGCAAATTTATTTAAAAAAATCCTACATACATCATTCCAACTTGTGAACTAAACCAGTGCAACCCAAGCATTAAAGCTTGAAGTGATTTCAAGCAGAAGATGTTGGTTTTCTTGTGTTCTAGGGGTGGTTGTGTCTCCAGGCAGGACTGGGGTAAAGCCACGCTGCTGTTCTCCTGTCATCAGAACAAGTGACACTTACTGAAAGGGAAGTTTTATTGAAAACCATTTTAACAGCAAGAAAGTTAAAAAGTCAAACGCTTTATTTCGGATAGAAACTAACTTAAACACAACATGTAAAGCAAATAAGTGATGGCAACGTTGGCACTTAAACAACTTTTAAATCAAATATTCAACAAAAATATAGGTCAGCTTATAAGTACACAATCTGCACGTGGCAATATATACAGCCCAGTGAAAAATATAAAAAGAAATACTGTTCTGCTTAAGAACATGATAGTGAAGACTTTGGTAGCAAAAGTGTCTTTTGTCTTTAAAACTGTAGTCTTGAGAGATGCTTCCTTGAATTCAAAGACTAAAAATGAAACAGCTCTATCCCTGGAGGTCTCTGACTGCGGGTCCTTCACCGACTGCTGATCCCGTTGGAATCACACAGTGATAATCGGCCGACAGAAGGGAAAAGGCAGAGTGGGAAGAGTTGATTGGACACAGGAAGACCAAACTGGTTCCTCCTTGTCACCAGCACCCCAAAACCTACTGCTCCTCTTGCTCGTTGCTGGTGTGAAGACTGATCTTCTGGACTTCCAGCTCTTCGGCGCTGACCATGGAGGGATCGATGGCCGCGTAGCGGGTACCGTGGAACTGTAGCAAATGGATCTGGTGGACACAAAATAACACAGAAACGGGCGTAAAAGCGTAAGGTTTTGGTAAAAGAGAAACATTCCTTCCGAATAATTTTTGTGAGGATGAAATCATGGCTCAGAGTATGAGAGATCAGAGAAAGGACAGAGGAAACGGGCAACAGCTGAGCCCCAAAGCCAGCCCTCCATGACTGTGGTGTCTCCCAGGCCTGCCCATCTACATCAGTGACCTGGGAGCCAGAGTGAGCAGAGCTCAGGCAGCGCAAGAAGCCAGAGCGAGCACAGAGAAGGAGTTTCCTCCCACTGCTCTGCCCAAAACCATTCGTAGATGGGGTTTGAACACAGAGACTCACTTGAATATAAAGGTTGACCTCAGGGCTCCTGCAGAGATAGGGGAAGTTGCCTCCTGTTTTGAGGTGAGCTCTCCTGGCGTTGGGATAAAGCTTATACATTTCTTCCTTCGCTTCCGTCGAAAGCGCACTTTGGTCAAACACCTGCGTAACGAGTCACAGCAGTTAGTTCTGAATTCTACCAGGTTTTGCTCATTAAATCAGACTGGGTATCAGCTGCTCCTAGAAGCCATTCTAAGCTTCTCTGTGGAACCACGTTAATGAAAAAGAAAACAAGCAAAAACATGTGAGGCATCAACAGCTAAAAAGCTAAAGCTGTGATAATTAAACACATGGCTGTTACAGCACAGAATATCCAATTCCTAACGTAACACAGGAGAATCCTGGTGTTGCCCAGTCAGGAAAAGGCTTATCTAAATGCAAAATTACATGCTGTAAATATTTATTAAATTTCTAAAAGAACATCCAGGCCCCACCCACCACGGGGAGGAAACGGTGTTTGAATAAAAGGATGATGTTGAGATTAACTTACATCCATGATGGTTACAGGGATGTCTCGAATTTTATGAGGTTCTACGTAGGAGTTCTGGCAGTTGAGGGTGAGTCTTGAAGCGAGCTCGCTCTGGCACAAACTCTCCAGCTTTCAGTAGAGAGAAATAGCAATTAACACCCCATTTCACCGCAGGAAGTTAATGAAACGTTAACAATACAGCCAAAGAGATGTTAGTTTTAAAGAGAAACATGACTGCACTTTAGATGAGGATTATAGTCCCAATTTAATATCTTTCTGCACAAGTCAAATGTTTAAGACACGTTCCATTAGTTGCTCCTGCCTCCAGAGCAAAGCCTACGGATGTATCCCAGCACTTCCTCCTCTTCTACCTCAGGTTCTTCATCACGTCTCTTCTGATCACCATAAAAAACAGGCTGAGAGTCACAGCATCAGTTAAATTGTCAACACCTGCTCGGGATCCATCCCTCCTGCTCCCCTCTGGGGCAGTAACTAAAGACAGCAGCAGAAATACTCCTGGCTCCCACTAAGCAAACCCTCCGTGGAGACTGACACCGGAGCACGTGGCCACCTACCCTGTCCACCATGAAATCGATCCCATCCGCCATCTCGGGGTCTAGAGGACCAGATGCAAAATTGCCAAGGACAATTTTTTTCAGCATAAAAGCAGGCATCAGCCAAAAGCTAAAATAGAAACAAGATGTGACAACCTTGAGTTCTTAAATCCAACCACAGAGGATCACGGGATGACGGGATTAAAGGCACCATCAGCAAGTTTGTGGATGATACCAAGCTGTGTGGTGTTGTCGATACACCAGAGGGATGGGATGTCATCCAAAAGGACCTGGACAGGCTGGAGAGGTGGGCCCAGGTGAACCTCATGAGGTTCAACAAGAGCAAATGCAAGGTTCTGCACCTGGGCCGGAACAATCCTCGCCACCAATACAAACTAGGGGGTGAGGTATTGGAAAGCAGCCCTGAGGAAAGGGACTTGGGGGTGCTGGTGGAGGAGAAGCTGGACATGAGCAGGCAGTGGGCAGCTGCAGCCCAGAAGGCCAATCCCATCCTGGGCTGCATCAAAAGATGCGTTGCCAGCAGGTCCAGAGAGGGGATTCTGCCACTTTACTCTGCTCTGGTGAGACCTCACCTGGAGTATTGTGTGCAGGTCTGGAGCCCTCAATATAAGAAGGACATGGACCTGATGGAGAGGGTCCAGAGGAGGGCCACAAGGATGATCAGGGGGATGGAGCACCTCTGCTACGAGGCCAGGCTGAGGGAGCTGGGGTTGTTCAGCCTGGAGAAGAGGAGGCTCCGGGGAGACCTAATAGCAGCCTTCCAGTACCTGAAGGGAGCCTACAGGAAGGCTGGGGAGAGCCTGTTTAGAAAGGCCTGCAGTGACAGGACGAGGGGCAATGGCTTCAAGCTGGAGGGGAACAGATTTAGACTGGAGATGAGGAGAGGGTTCTTCACTGTGAGGGTGGTGGAGCACTGGGACAGGTTGCCCAGGGAGGTGGTTGAGGCCCCTTCCCTGGAGATATTCAAGGAGAGGCTCGACGAGGCCCTGGGCAACCTGGTCTAGTTGGGGGTGTCCCTGCTGACTGCGGGGGGGTCGGACTAGATGGCCTTTGGAGGTCCCTTCCAGCCTGGGCAATTCTATGATTCCATTCTATGATTCATTTGTCAAATTCCACACTCCCAATTGTGAAAATTTCCATTTTCCTCATGGCGTGGCTTTAAAAGTCCCAAGTATTCCATCCCACAACTCCCTCTCCCAGGCTGCACATGGGTCAGACACACGTCCAACTGCAGCAGCATCACATTTCAGTGCAAAAAAAAAATTAATGCCACAAATCTGATCGCTTGTCTCAGTCTTCCTACCTGTTTGCTGTCCACGTCTGATTGAAGATAGACGTGTCACTGAAGGAATTACACAGGATCAGAGATTGAACTCTGGGAGATTTGTGTGTGTATTCGGCAAATTTTTGAGCCAGAAAACCTCCCAGAGAAGCTCCAAAAAGGTGAACCTAATTAAAGAAAAACAAAAAAAATCAAAAACCAGATCACATCACCCTTGTGAAAAAAGTGATCTCTAAGCACAACATTTTCTTACAAAAATAAGTCATTGAAGGTTCACCCCGTCCTCATAACCCCTTCTTTAAAAGAATCAAACTCTCCTATTCAGCATCTGGTTTTGTGTGCGACATAAATGTGATAAATATTGAAAAAAAGGAAGCGTTTCCAGGTCACAGGTCAAATTTCTGTTTTGCTTATCAAGCCTAAGAAAAAAAAAATCCTTTCACTTTGTCTGCAATAGCTATTCCAATCCAGCTTTATTAGGGTATTCCTTCCTACATGAGTTAGGAAGGATAAATTCCACAGGATCTCATGAAAAACTAGTTAACTGATACAATTTAATAAGGTTGAACTTAGACCAGTATGACAATTTCCAAGGGTATTCACCTTCAAAAATAAACTTGGTTCAGAAGTGAAATTGCAACACAGCCTCTATTTATAGGTTGCGTTTTTGCGTCATATTTTCTACACTTGCTTTTAAATGAAACTCTTACAAACATTGGTTTTTTTACTGCAACTACACATCCATTTCCCCATCTCAGAGCACTCACTTTATCCAGCTGAAGGTGGTCTAACAGTTTTCTGAATCCGTCACAGAACTCCAGGTGGTCCCAATACACTGGATACTGCAACTAAAATAATCAAGAGTTAGAAAAAGCTGGTCCTACTTTAAAAGTTTCGAGGATTCAACCTGCCTCTCCTGCACCACCAGGCTCAAGCTCCTGAGCAAGGTTCTTAGAGCCAGAGGATGCAGACACCCTCCCCTTGCTTGCCCAAAAATACACAACAAAGCTGAAAAGCTACAAAACAGCCAGTCATTGGGATTTTAAGGAGTGATTTAGTATCTGCAGCTAGACAGATTAAAATCAGGTTATCCACCATCCCTAAAGCAACCAGGGAAACCCTGAACTGACCCACCCACTTGCCTCATGGCCAGCAAAGATCCAGCTGGAGGCAAAGATGACTGGTGTCCAGGGCACAGGAGGGAGGAAACAGATGGAGAAGTTAAAAATGCCTATGTGTAAGGCTCTGGGTAAACAGTGCCATAAACATACAGATTTCAGCCCGAATCTGCACACTGCGTGCCCTGGAGTACAACTCAGAATCAGGTTTATGTGGATTCTCCTTAGTCAACACTAAGGAGTTTATCTTCATTATCCAACCTGTGATTAGAGCAACAAGCTGACTTCGACACAGGAGTGAGAATACTCACAGCAATAACTCTGTAGCCCCATCCAGTCAGTGCCAAAATTTGCTGGAAAAACACGTCTGCGGTTCCGCTTACGGGAGGGAGAAATATGAGGGGGCACCGAATGCTCCTGGGTCCTGCATCATACAGTGACCAGACCTTACTGTCATCGTCGTCTACGATTATCTGGAAAAAATAAAAATAAAAATAGAGGCACAGGGGGGAGAAGAAACACAAAAGACAAATGAGGTTCTTCAGCCAGCTTCAGGATTGCTTCTAGACAAATCTGTTATCTAGTGAATATTATAATACTCAAGACCATCTTTTACTCCTCTTCACAACAGCTTTCTTCTCTAAGGCTGTTTACTAACTGGAGTTACACTGTTTGGATGAATATTGCTGGATGCAGAACCGTGGCCATGCACTGTCAGACCCAATGCTTTGTGTCCTGGCATAAGCTGGGTAACGAACATCGCACGGGGTCAGCGGCAGCACAATATGGGGTGTCTTATGGGAGCTCATCCTTCTGCAGGCAACTGGAGACCACTGCAACTGCTGGAAGTAGTGAATTGTGTTGGTTTTACAGGGATGGACTGCACTTCTGAAGTTACACCCAGAAAAATAAATCTCTCTTTCTTTCCGAGGAACCTCTGTTAAGTAAAGTTTGCAATGCTTCGCTCTGGGTTTCAACTCGGAGCGCCTTGATCAGAATGAGAGTTCATCTGGATTTGAAAATTCATACACAAATAAATCAGGGGAACAGCGAGGCTGTGCCCCCAAAGGACCAGATTTATGCAACATTCCACATGCAGAAAAATCTGCTTGGGAAAGAGCCACCGTGCCACAGCCCAGGAGAGAGACCCAGGAGGTCAGCTCTAGGTACTGGGAGCTGCAGCTGTAGGCTGGAAAAAGCACTGGGGGCAGCTTCATGAACAACCATCAATATTTGCATTCCCTGGACAAAAAAGATGTTACAGGGCTGGATACACTCATGGCTACTAAGTTAAGCAGCTAACACCACACATTATTGATCTCCAACAGTTAGAGCCTGCTGCCAGGAACAGCGCTGCACACAACTCCCAAAGCAGCTCTGGAAAGCTGACCTGGAAAGAAAAATGCTTCCATCACCTGGCAGCATCTCAGGAGCATCTGGAGTGCCTGGGACACACATCTGGCTGGTGGAGATTATTCACACCCGAGCTGCTATCCTTAATGATCAGCTCCTCACACAGTGCCCACCTCAGCACAGAAGCTAGAAGCCCTAGCGCAATTAATATCTTTAAAAGCATAGGAATTAAGTAAAGGTCTTGTTTTCCAGCAATGCTGGAGCCTGACTTGTTTTTTACAGGGCTTGTTCTACCAGCAAACTGGTGTGTATATTTAGGATGCACTTTCAACCCTCCCCAATCCAGCAGAAGTGTGTGGCTCATACCAAAACAACAAGCACAAACCTCTGGGGAAAGCCTGCGTCACACACCGGGAGTTCATCTCCTCTCTGTGGAGGTTTGAGAGCTTTTTGAGTAGCAATATACAAGCACAACTTGCTTTTCCATCACTGCAGTTAAGCTGCTCAGGGAATCAGAGTAGAAGAGCGTATCACAAATCAGATTTGCTTGACTAACAAATCTGTCTGTAATAAAGCCAGTATTTCAGGCTCTGAGAGCGTGTGAGAAATCACATGATACTGTTGTTTTGTAAAGTCTCTACGAAAAAAAAAAAAAATCACATACCAGAGCTTCCAGACCACTGAAACCATTTTAAAATAAACCTTGTACAAAATCCCTCTTGATCCCTGCAACAACCCCCCTTTGCAGACAACTCCAGAGCTCTGGCCTCGCTGTTCTCAGCTGTTACTCCACCAGTAATTTTGGATCAGTTGGGGGTAGCTGTTGGTGGCCACTACAAACTTTACCTTTAAGAACATTTCCAAAGGCAAAACCATAAAACCAAAGTTAGTTTATGTTGAGGGAAATGAGTTCCGAGAGATGACGTTTCTTTCCTCGAGCCCAGACAAGGAATCAGTGGGTTTAGACAATTGTTTTATTTGATTTCTAGCCACACACTGGAGAGTTTAATTCCAGCTCCAAAACAAGGCTAGGCACTGTGCAGGCAGACAGCAGCGTGCTTAACTGCTGATTTGGGAGGTCACCAGCCTTTTTCTTCTTCTGGTGGATCAACCAAGGTTGCCTACAGTTTCCATAAGGGTAAGACCTGCACGGCATTGAAACAGGGGGCAGAACAGCCAGGGTGTCCTCTACTGAAGATTTTTAGGAAGGACTTATCTAAGGCACCAAGCAGCATGTGCAGAGGCTGACAGGGAAAGCTCAAGATTTACTTTAAAAATGTTATTTTCTGTGCTGTACTTGCTATGTCTGCCAAGAGCAGGAAGGGTGATGAAGCTGTGCATTTCCTGCTCCTGTCATCTCAGCCTCTTTTCAAACAAACTGCTCTGGCTCTGCTTCCATCTGACAGCAGTGACCATGGTCGGTCATTCCTTCCTCTGCACTGTACATGCTTTGCCTGGACTTTTGGAGGGAATAACACAAGCAAATACATTTCTAAAGACTGTTTCAGAGATTAAAGACATCTTCAAATTGGGCTTTTTTTTCCCATTTTATTCCCTCTGCAGAAACCAGGATTAGTTCGTTTATTTCTACCTCCTTCATATCCCACATTCGTGACTGTTGCATCACTTGGCTTTTGAGTAGACTGAATCACTCAAGAGGGTGAGGTATTCCCTGGTCTGAAGGTCACCAGCAGCTTCAGTTTACACGTGTCCCCATTTCTGAAACCCTGAGCAGGCAGCAGCAGCTGAAGGTGGTGGCCCCTGGCAGCGAGCTGCAGCGTCACACAGTCCCCACGGCAGCAGCAATGCGTCCCCGTTGTAACCACAACCTCCAGTTCCTTTCATTTACCATCCTGCATCCCATAAAGCACCACCTCAGAGCACACACACGTGTCTTTCTGCTGAAATGCTGCCTCCTGGCTTTGCTGAGGCATTGCCTGGAGGCTACGGCACAAATAGACCTAGTTCTGGCCAGGAACAGAAAGAAGCTGGACAGCCAGAGCCCAGAGCATGCACAGTTAACAGCAATGGATTTCTCTTATTTACAGGAGTCACAAACTGGCAAAAATGAATGAGAAACCCTGAATGGAAAATTTCTACAGCCCTTCCATAAAGGTAAATTCTTCAAGAAAACTGCACACCACTCAGCAGAAGTAACACTAGGCACATTGAAGTCTTGTTCCTTAAGTTTGGGGACACAGTCCCTTTTGAGTGGTCCAACTGCAACCAAGTTGCTGTGCAAAGGGGTAAAGCTGCTCTCACCTCTGCTGCAAGCACCATCCCCGGGTTCCTGCAGCCCACAGAGCCATCCAAATTAGGGAACTGAACCAGTTGGCAGCCAGGTTCAGGAGCTACGTTCCAGTACTGTAATGCTCTCTGCCACTTGGCACACAGCGAGAGAAGCTGGAGCACTGCACACCTCAAACACTCTCCTGTGGTTCAGGGAAAGGAAGTGGAGAAATCCAAGCGAGAGGAGAAAGTGGTTGGACGGTTTGATTAAGCAGAAGACATCTAGAGGACACGCAGCAGAAGAAACCGTTTGGTTTTTTCCACTGTGGTTAAGGCATCTTTCCACTCTCAGGAACACCACGTGCAGCCCAACTGCTGAGAAGTTGCCTTCAGATGCTCTGCTTCAGCCTGAGGATGATGGGCAGGAATGGCAGAGGTGGCTCTGGGTCAGCTGCAGTGAGAGGCCACACACATGGTCCCCAGCACACACTATTTCCTCAGGGTGCCAGGTACCACTGCCATGGCTCACAACTACGAGGCTCCGCTCCCCACCACCCCATGTATGAAGCAACCTCTAAGAAGCACGTGAAAATTGAGAGCATGCTTTCCTGCACTCCTGTGACACGTGGGACAACTCTTCAGGACACAAGGCAGGTCACTAACACAGCCACAACATTCTGCATGAACCAAACAGCTGAGTCCCCCCCACTGCAAAGCCAGAGGAGACATTTCACCCACGAGGCGATTAGAGCTGTACGTACCTTTTTAAGGGGAACTGTGCTTCTGAACCAGTTATAGTCAGGAGAGACTTTAATCTCTCCCATGATGTTTAGAAAAAAAAATCAGTTTAGGTCAGCCTGAAAAAAAAAAAAAAGAGATAAGAGTTAGAAATCAACACAACAGCTTTACTGTAGGCAGCACCCAAAAGCTGTGCCGCGTACACACAGCATTTGCAGGGCGAGTTTGCTCTTATCAGTTGATTGTACCACCTCTGACTCCAGCCAAGTTTACTTATCCTCCATTTCATCACAAACCATTTAATTATTCTCCCAAGAGACAGTCACCTGACTGCCTTACTGTGCCGGCCTTCTTATGAAATGATGCTGCTTTTGTAACAGCCTTCTCCTGTAACAAGTTGTAGAGAAGGACAGCTGTGTTGCAGGCTCTAAGTGGCTTAAAAAGTTACAGCACATTTTCAGTTTTTAATTTAATTTTTTTATCTAATAAGTATTCATACAATTCACTCTGCAGTTCAGACAATAGACTCAGGTTATTTCACAAACACGCTGCCCAAGTATTCAGACCACATTCTCCCATCTCAATATAACTGACCCAAAGGAATCCCAAAGCACATCAGGAACATCAGCTGATCTGAGGCTTAATTTACCAAAGAGCCCTGAAGTTTCAACTCTACCCACACAGAAGCTGACCCTTGTCAGGAGTTACCAACAAAGGTATCTTTGAAGCACACCAATAAATACAGAACAAATTGATTCAGAGCTGGGTCCACACAGGAATGCCAGTAATTCAAGTCAGAATGTCCTCCCATACATAACAGCATCTTAAAATAATCCATTAATTTGCAATAAACACTTAGGTATCTTGTAGATTTAATTTTTTTTTTAAAGCAGCAAAAGACCATTAGCTTCCATTTACACAACAGATGGTATCAAACAGTTTTGAAGCCTGCAGGCTCAATAGCTTTACCCTGAAAGCCAACTGCCTCAGGAGATTATTTTCATGCCTTCACACACAGCACTGAGCATAATAAAACAAAGCAACTTTTACTCTTGCTACTTAACAGTTGCCAAGTATAAATCAATAGGTTTTGTTTCTTAATTCTTCATAAAATAAGTCCTTGGTATGTTCTGTGAGCCCCTCCAATTCATTTCCCCCTGCAGGAAAGCTGCTGGTGTGCAGATTTAACTACCTTACTGGGTTACAGCTGGATTAACAGTTATTTACAATTTCCTCATATTTCAGTCTTTAATTGCTGTTTTCCAAGTACAGCAAACATGCACGTTAAAAGGGAAAGTACTTTCTAAATTGCAAGATGACACACATCTTCCACAGAGCAGGTGATACACCTCTCATGTCTGACGAGGGTGTCAGAGGTAGGAAATTCAGCTGCATGGCCCTTGTTGCAATTTCACATGGCTTCAGTTTGGTGCTGGCATCAACCATTCTGCTCTTTGTCATAGTCTGGCTGCAGGTAAAATCCCAGTGGATGTAAAAATAAAATACCTATTCCACCAGCCTGCAAGGCAGAGCAGGCACAAAGACGTGTTACTGGACTAAGGGGGACAGCTGGTCATTAGAGAAAGGAAACAGCAGTTTATTCTACTAATTCCTTTCTATAACCACACATTAACTGGTTATCAAAAAGCTATTCAGTAAACCACAGTTAGAGCAGAAATAAAAAAAAATCCCAGCAAATGCCTTAAAACAACACGTTCTCTTTGAGTATTGTATTACAGCAGGGACAAGAAAACCCAAGTCATGCTCGGGGCTTCACCACGTAAATACAAAGGCACAGGAGAGGGAGAATTTCTGCTAATAATCCTGGTTGCCATGAAGGGTTGGCATCTTCTTCCCCCTGCAATCACCTCTCTTTTTCTGTCATCTGAGTCTTTCAGCACTGTTAAGCTAATTCACAGGCTGGCACATCACTCAGGAGCAGGAAGGTGTCTGTCATTAGACTAGATAAGGAACAGGCATGGATGCAGATGAACTTTGTCCTGTCAGTGTCCCTCAGCTGGCACTGGAGCACATTAAGAGTCCATCCACAGCCTAAGTTTTGAGCTTCCCAATTCACCTACAAATTTGTGAAGCAAATCGCTGGTCACCAGGACTTGGGCTGGTTTCTACCAGCTCTTTTCCTATAAAGGTACATCTGCAACCCGTGCTCCTAAGGATTGCTCCTCTTTTAAAGCAAGAGTAAACAGTTTTTCTTTGATTATAGATGTTTTTGCTGAAGTCAATGCCCTATTACTGACTTGGGGTTTTATTTTCCATTGGCATTAAATTTGCACACACGTTTGTGTCAACAACTGCATGCTCTTCCAGCCACAGAAAAGCTGAACCATGAACTCAAAACAGGGAACCAGCCACCCAAGATAACTCAAATCACAAACAAAAAACCCAATGCTCTTCATGACCCAGCCTCTAAAGACCCGAGTTTCATTTTCAGTAAAAACCAAACAACCTGAAGAACTCTAACCTCTTAAAAACAATTCCCCTAAAGGAAGAATCACCTAGGGATGTGTTCAGAGCACTTCTCCTTGTAAGTTATTCCCATTACACTAGCAATGCTTTCCACTCTTTATCGATTTAGAAGGATTTTGATCCTGCCACTAGGGAGGAAACCCTGCCAGAGCAGATTAGATGAGCTCTTCTTCCCTGAGCCGTGTCTCCATGAGCCGGGGCGGCCGCGCAACCGCTCTCCGGCTGCGCTGGCCACACAGCGCCCACTCCCACGGGCCAAGAGATCCTGAATCAGCAACACCCGCACCCAGAGCCGACGGCGACTGCAGGCAAACACCAGGAGATGCAGGGGAGACGCCAGGGCTACGGGTGCTTTACGAACACCAAACACAGGCAATGAGCAAGAAGAGTTATGGATAATTGGGATGTGGCAGCAGCACCTTCCCCTCTCCCCCAGCCCTCACCCAGGCTGCCCACCCATCCCAGCCCCTGCTCTGTCTCCCTGCCTCAACCACAGCTGGTCCCCCCAGCTTTGTGGGGAGAAGGAGGCAAAACCCCACTCAGCACCCCCAGCCCAGGTTCTCACTCCAGCAGCGCAGGCTGAGGCAGCCCCTTCCCCTGAGAGCTCCCCCAGAAGAGGAACCCTCAGGGCAGGGCTGGACTTTGGGGCTGCCTGCAGGGTTGAGCCCCAAGCCACAACACACACCCGGAATGGAGTCCCTCAGGGGTCATGACAGCCCCAGGCCCACACCTCCTCATGGCCCCCCAACCCCTCACAGCCTGGTCCAAGGGTAATGCTGTGCCAGAGCCTGAGAGACACCCCCCTTAAGTCTCCTCAGGGCCACCAAACCCCTCAGCCCCCCCACCCTCCAGTCTCCTCAGGGCTCACCAGGCCCCTCAATGCTCCCCCTTCCTCAGGGCCCACTCACCCCCTTAGGGCCACCCCTCCCCGGGCCTTCAGGGTCCAAACTGGGCCCTCAATACTTCCCCTTCCTCACACCCTCAGGCCCCACTCACCCCCTCAGTGCTCCCTCTCCCCGGCACCTCAGGCCCCACTCACCCCCTAAATTCTCCCTCTCCCCGACACCTCAGGGCCCACTCACCCCCTCAGTGCTCCCCCTCCCTAGCGCCTCAGGCCCCACTCACCCCCTCAGCGCTCCCCCTCCCCGGGCCCTCAGTGTCCAGCCGGCCCCTCAGGACCCCCCTTCCCTGCTCGAGACCCCTCAGCGAGGGGCAGGCCGGTCTCCGCAGCGGCAACCTCCCTTCCTTCCCCCCTTGCTTCTCCCCTCACCGGGAGGCCGGACCACCACCACCGTTCTTCTTCTCCTCCTCCTCCCCCGGCGCGCCCAAGCCGGGGCACCCGCCGCCGGCCGCTACTTCCGGGTGCTGCGCCCGCGCCAGCCACGTGACGGCGGGGGGGAGCGCGAGCCAGGGCGGAAGGGCGGGGG